CACCGATCAACCACTCTTTTTGACTGGAATATAATTTGTGTTTTTTCACTGGCTGCAAGTTTGCAGTAATGCATATAATGTAAATAACAGTTCAAAGGGCAACTTCGGATATTCTAAATACTTATAACATTTGCTTGTTTGGAACAATATTGTATGAGTCGTGTGATGGGATTTTTAAAATGTCTGTCTTTTTTTCATGTTCCTTTTTTTTTTTTTTGAGGAGTTCACTTTTTTTTTTTTCTTTTTATTAGGAGATAGGCTTTGGGAGATGATTAGGTCATAAGGGTGGGACCCTCATGGAATAGGATTACTGCCTTATGAAAGAGACCCTGGAATGTTCCCTCATCCCTTCTACCATGTAAGGGTACAGTGAGAAGACTGCTGTCTGTAAACCAGAGAGTAGACTCTCACCAGACACCAAATGGATGGACCCCTTAATCTTGGACTTCCTAGCCTCCAGGACTGTGAGAAATAAATTTCTATTGTTAATAGGCACCCCGTTTATGGTACTGTGTTATAGCAGCCTGCAGAGACTAAGATACTTCCATATAGAACAGGATTAAGATTCATTATTCTTTTTTTAATTTTATTTTTAGAAAGAGAAAAAGAATAGTAAGAAAAAGAATAAAGAGGAAGAGAAAGAGGAAGAGGGAGAGAGAATGGGGCTATTGCTTTGTTGCCCGGGCTAGAATGCAGTCTAAATATGGGTATGCCTATAATTGTCCTTAATAATGGAGACATGAAAGAAAATGAGGGAAGAGAATAACAAACAAGGAGCCAACCAACATTTCGTTTAAACTTCTAAGTTGATATGATGTGGTACTGATAAGAGTGTATATTTTGTGTAAAGTGGAGAGTTCTATAAATGTTAATTACATTTACTTGTTCCAGATCTGAGTTCAAGTCCTGGATATCGTTGTTAATTTTCTGTCGCATTGATCTGTCTAATGTTAATGTTGAAGTCTCCCACTATTATTGTGTGGGAGTCTAAGTCTCTTTATAAGTCTTGTATGTCTGGGTATTCCTGTATTGGGTGCGTGTATATTTAGGATCTTTAACTCTTCTTGTTGTTGCGTTGATTCTTTTATCATTATATAATGTCCTTCTTTGCTTCTTTTGATCTTTGTTGCTTTAAAGACTATTTTATCAGAGGCAAAAATTGTAACTTCTGCTTTTTATTTGTTTTTGCTCTCTGGTTGGTTGGTAAATCTTTCTCCATCCCTTGTTTTGAGTCTTTGTGAATCCTTGAATGTGAGATGGGTCTGGATGCAGCATACCAATGGGTTTTAGTTTTTTGTCCAAATTGCCTGTATGTCTTTGAATTGGGGAATTTAGTCAATTTAAATTTAGAATTAATAATGATATATGTGAGTTTAATACTGCCATTTAATCTTAGCTGGCTATTCTGCCCATTAGTTGATGTAAATTATTCCATTATATTGATGTTCTTTACTTTTTGGTATTTTTTAGAAAGGCTGATACTGTTTGTTCCTTTCTATGTGTAGTGGTTCTTTCAGAAGCTCTTGTAAAGCAGGCCTGGTGGTGATGAATTCTCTGAGTGCTTGCTTGTTCACAAGAAACTTTATTTTTCCTTCACTTATGAAGCTTAGTTTGGCTGGATGTGAAATTCTTGGTTGAAAGTTCTTTTCGGCCCGGCGCGGTGGCTCACGCCTGTAATCCCAGCACTTTGGGAGGCCGAGGCGGGTGGATCACGAGGTCAAGAAATCGAGACCATCCTGGTCAACATGGTGAAACCCCGTCTCTACTAAAAATACAAAAAATTAGCTGGGCATGGTGGCACAGGCCTGTAATCCCAGCTACTCAGGAGGCTGAGGCAGAAGAATTGCCTGAACCCAGGAAGCGGAGGTTGCAGTGAGCCGAGACCGAGCCATTGCACTCCAGCCTGGGTAACAAGAGCGAAACTCCGTCTCAAAAAAGAAAAGAAAAAAAAATAAAAAAAAAAATAAAGAAAGTTCCTTTCTTTAAGGATGTTGAATATTGGTCCTCACTCTCTTCTGGCTTGTAGGGTTTCTGCTGATAGATCTGCTGTAAGTCTGATAGGCTTCCCTTTGTTGGTAACCTGACCTTTCTCTCTGGCTGCCCTTAGTATTTTCTCCTTCATTTCAACCCTGGTGAATCTGACGATTATGTGCCTTGGAGTTGCTCCTCTTGAGGAATATCTTTGTGGTGTTCTCTGTATCACCTGGAGTTCAATATTATCCTGCCTTACTAAGTTGGGAAATTTTTCCTGAATAATATCCTGAAGCGTATTTTCCAGCTTGGATTCATTCTGTTCGTCACATTCAGGTACACCTTTCAAGCGTAGATTAGGTCTTTTCACATAGTCCCATATTTCTTGGAGACTTTGCTCGTTCCTTTTTATCCTTTTTTCTCTAATCTTGTCTTCTAGTTTTATTTCATTGAGTCGGTCTTCGACCTCTGATATCCTTTCTTCTGCTTCATCAATTCGGCTGTTAAAACTAGTGCATACTTCACGTAGTTCTTGTATTGTGTTTTTCAGCTCCATCAATTCACTTATTTTCCTCTCTAAATTTTGTATTCTTGTTGACATTTCGTCAAACCTTTTTTCAAAGTTCTTAGTTTCTTTAGATTGTGTAAGAACAAGTTCTTTTAATTCACAGAAGTTTCTTATTATCCACATTTTGAAGCCTGCTTCTGTAATTGGAACACACTCGTTCTCCATCAAGCCTTGTTTCGTTGCTGATGAGGAACTGGGATCCCCTGCTGAGGAAGAGGCGTTCTGATCTTGGGTATTCTCAGCCTTTTTTGACTGTTTTCTTCCCTTCATTGTAGATTTATCCATCTGTGGTCTTTATAATTACCGTCTTTGTAATTGGATTTATGAGTGGACGTCCAACTTATTGATTCTCAGCGCCGAAATCTGAGCAACCCACTGTGCCGACTAAATCAGCGGCGTTAAGATTGATAGTGCTTTTCTGATTCTGCACCAAGAACCGACACTCTGAGGCGCCGGCAAAACCGCCTCGCCGGTCACAAGAGTCGCGCTGGCGACCCGTGGGGCTCCTCCGCTGGGAATCTCCTGGTGCGTGAGCAATAAGAATTCATGTGAAGGTGTGGCGTCCTCTCGTTCTTTGCACTTTCACTGGGAGCTACAATCCTGAGCTGCTAGTGATCAGCCATCTTGGATCTCTCTCCAAGGAGTTCACTCTTGTTGCCCAGGCTGGAGTGCAATGATGCAATCTTGGCTCACTGCAACCTCCGCCTCCCGGGTTCAAGTGATTCTCCTGGCTCAGCCTCCTGTGTAGCTGGGATTACAGGAGTCTGAAACGATGCCCATCTACTTTTGTATTACTTAGTAGAGATGGGGGTTTCTTCCATGTTGATCAGGCTGGTCTCGAACTTCCGACCTCAGGCAATCCGCTTGCCTCAGCCTCCCAAAGTGCTGGAATTAGAGGCGTGAGCCACCACACCAGGCCTCAGGTTCCCATTTTATTAAAATGGGAACTGTATTGTGGAAGTTACTGTAATTTTCATCTTTAAGAGATTATTTTATTTTAGACTAAAAGGGCTTAACAAGACAAATTTGTCTTTCTTAATTGCTAATTTAAAGGCTAGTTTTTTTCCTGGATTGCTTAGGTTTGACTATTTCATTCCATTATATCAAGCTGTGAATTTCCTTCATTTTCTTGTTCTGAGGTTTCATTATTAAATATTGTCAAAAATAAGTGGATCATCAGCTGTCTTGAAAGCATTTTATTGCTGTGGTTTATTTTATTTTGTCAGTATTTGACATTTTGAATTGAAGATGTGAGTTGGAAGCTTGGTTAATTACCAAGTTACATAATCCTGTATTTGTTTATTAACCAGGTTAGACTACAGACTGTTCTTGAAACTGAAAGTGCTGTTATAAGTCAGAAAACACATTCATTATGGCCTATTTCAAATTAAATGAAGGATAGAGCCTTTGATAGAGCATTTGCCCTTTGTGGCTCTGATACATGCTTGCTTTCTAGGCAGAGATGCATTGTTACCATTTTCTGATGGTATGTTGAGTGTTTTGTTAGGTTAAATATTTCAGTATTAATCCAAACTTTTTTTTTTTTTTTTTTACATAAAATCTCAAAAAATAAGGTCACCTACGCTGGAGTGCAGTGGTGTGATCTCCAGCTCACTGTAACCTCCGCCCCACTGGGCTCAAGCTGTCCTCCAGCCTCAGCTTTCTGAGTAGCTGGGATCATAGGTGTGTACCATCACACCCAGCTAATTTTTTATGTTTTTAGGAGAGACAGAGTCTCACCATGTTGCCCAGGCTGGTCTCGAACTCCTGAACTCAAGCGATCTGCCCACCTTGGCCTCCAAAATGCTCGGATTATAGGCATGTGCCACTGTGCCTCCAAACTTTTTTTTTTTTTTTTTTTTTTTTTAGCATACAATACTCATGGTTTATTATATAAATCCAAACCTGAAAAGTCGAAATTTCCATTCAGGCTACTGTCAAACAAAAACAGCTGAGTTTTTGGAACACGGGTTTGAATCTTGTTTTATCCACTTTGTGTAACTGGGGACCTTAATAGTTTATTTTCTGCATTCCTTCAGTGTTACTGTAAAACTCCTAAGCATTAGATGAGACATTACACAGCTGGTTCTTGTTGCCTGACAACCTTGGTATGTAGCAGTCAACATTCTTCATAGGTTCAAGTTCTTAGGCAGGATTGTATAGGGTAATTACCCAGGAGGCTTTCTAAAGCTGAGGTCTGTATTACCCTCTGCTCCCAGCGTAGAGGACATACATTACAATCATCAAGTTTATACAGGTAACCTGGACAAAGCATCTGCTCTGATCCTTCCTCCTGCCACCCCAGTGCAGTCTTCAACACTGTACCACGAGGTGCCGTCTTGTTAGGTGACAGGGAAAAATCCAGCCTGTGTCATGTCAGAATAGGTTGAAAGCCAATATTAGAAAACCGTGACCATTTTTGCAGAACACATTCCAAAACTATGGGCAAGACCAACAGCAGTTAAAGTTCAGTTTTTTATTGAACACATTATAAAAGGGGTTTAGTCAAAAAGACCAAAGCCCATATCATCATTAGACTCCTCAGATTCTTCTTTCTTTGCTTCCACTTTCTTCTCAGCTGGAACAGCAGCAGTGGAGGGGGCAGGACCTCCTGCTGGTGCAGCACCAGCTGCTGGAGCAGGCCCACCAGCCCCTATGTTGCCGATGAGGCTCCCAATGTTGACCTTGGCCAGGGCCTTTGCAAACAAGCCAGGCCAAAAAGGTTCAACATTTACAACGGCTGCTATAATGAGGGCATTGATCTTATCTTCCCTGATGGTCACCTCATCGTCGTGCAGAATGAGGGCCGAGTAGATGCAGGCAAGCTTGGAGACAGAGGCCATGGTGCGGGTGAGTATGGGGCTAGCACTGCCGGACATGGTGCTAGTCGCCAGATGAAGTGACGGCCTCACCCCAACCCAGCCTTAGCATCCTCGGAAGGACCGAGCACCTTGGCGGCAGCTGAGGAAAAAAGACTCCAAACTCGTAATCAGGGTTTGTGAAATACGATAGTGCAGTGAATAAGCTAGAGGCTGAAAGGGAGAGATATGTTTCTATTACTGATGAATCAGTGTTTTTGGGTGTTATATTCCTGGGGATCTTTAAATTGGCATAAGGTTTCATGAGGGATTCATTCATTACCATTCTCTTGCTTCTGTGGACCTGGGTTATCATGTTTTTAGAAAAGCTTTGGTGTGACTCTCAGGTGTGTCTTTAGAAACCTGCCATTTTGGAGAAAAGTGACTAAATGAAGTGTGAGTTTGATCCCTTGGGAGGGAAAAAAAAAGTCCAAGGAAATGGAAGATGGCAACTTTTGAGAGAAATTTATTTTGGGGTCTTTAAGACCAGTGAAAGATGTGATTAGTAGCTTTGAGTCAGTCTAAAGCAGTAGTTTGCTGTTATCTTTTGTTATTATTATTATTTTTGAACTCTCATTCTGTCACCCAGACTGGAGTGGGAGTGCAGTGGCATGATCTCTGCTCACTGTAACCCCTGCCTTCAGGATTCCAGTGATTCTTCTGCCTCAGCCTTCGGAGTAGCTGGGATTACAAGTGCCTGCTACCATGCCTGGCTAATTTTTTGTATTTTTAGTAGACACAAGGTTTCATGATGTTGGCCAGGCTGGTCTTGAACTCCTGACCTCAAGTGATCCACCTGCTTCTGCCTCCCAAAGTGCTGGATTTATAGGCAAGAGCCACTGTCTGGCCATTTTGCTTATCTCAATTGCATTGGGAAGGGCTCACTTAAATACAGTACATTTATGAAGTCTGCCTTGCAAAGCAGTGTGCTGTGTACTGGAGAGATGTTAATGTGTAAGCCACCATTGCTAACCCTAGGAAATTTATGAACTCAGGAGATGAGGTTTGGCAAAATAACTGATAGATAGGAATTGGCAGTTTATGCCCATTTTTTTTTTTTGCTCACCTGTAATGAGAGATATTTATTTCTTTGTGCATATGTCAGTGTTGCTAGATGAAACCTAAAGCACTTGAGCTAATTCAGTTAAACATATATTGAGTGTTAGATGAAAGTTACCACGGTCAAAAAAACCATGATGCATGTGCTCAAAAGAGCTCAATTTCATGGAAGGCGTGCACGTGTGCACGTGCGCGCGCACACACACACATAAAACACACAATAGTGCTATGTGGCAAGTGCTGGGGGATGTTGTGTCTTTTCGTGAGTTCTTTTTGTGAGGCAGAGATGACAGATGTCTGAGTCTTGAAGGAAAATCAGTAGCTTTCCAGTTGGAGAAGACTTGAAGGGTGCTCTGGGCAGAGGAAGTTATGTGTAAAGATCCGGAGGCATGCACATATACTGGGGAATATTTTCATGGAGTGGAGATGGGTTATAAGGCTGACAGGCTACTTTAGGCAAGGCTTATGGGAGTTTTGGCTTCATTTTGTCTGTGCTGGGGAAACAATATCATGGGTTTTTTTTCCCCCCCCAGAGGGAGTGACCCAATGATAATGATAACTGGGGCTCCCTGAGGAATGATTGGAAATTCGAAGACTTGCAGATACCAGAGATAACAAAGACCTAGGCTAGAGCCCTGAGAACAGGAAGGAGTTAGCAGGCTGAGTGAGGTGTGTACTGAGGTGCAGAGGAGAAAGAAAATGAGGCTAGTCTCCTTCTAGGGACCCAGTTTGGTGGAACTTTGGTCAGCAAAGAAGGGGAAGGCCACAGTGGGAATATACTGGAGAACAGAGGGGATGCTTGATTTGGGGCTCATGGAGTTTGAGGAACTCAGCTCTGCAGTTAAGTGCGTGGAGAAGTCCTGTGCTTGTGAAAATGCAGCTCTGGTGAAGGCATGTCTCGTCCCCTTCTTACCTTTACTGGTAACTTGAAGAGGCAGGGTTTGCTCCTTTACCTTTGTTTTTTAGGGGAAGGAGAAAAGGGGTTGTTTCCGTAAGAGTACAATGGGTCCAAATATTTTTAAGATAGGAAGTATAAAGCTCAACCCTCTAATGCCTTCTGAATTTCTTAGCTTTTCTTTCTGCTTATTCTCTGCCATTTCACTGTGCATCCTTGATTTTTCACTCACTGTGGTTCCTGGAAGGTTCTGGTGTTCTTTGGCACCATTGCCTTTCGCAACCTGAAGCAACCTCCCTCCCCCTAAAACAGTACATCAGAAACTCAGTGAGGCCTTCCTATTTGGGGACTGTCTTTTGGGGGCTCCTGGAGCACTTAGAACATTATACCTTCTATTGTATTGTAACTCTTTTCCTGTATAGACTATGTAAGCATTTTCCTCCCACTTTTTTGGGGGGAACATCTTCAAACCTACAGAAAAGTTGAAAGAAGTACAGTGAGCACTTGATTTACCAGCTGACCAACTGTTAACATTTTTCGAATTTTCTCAATTACTCTATGTAAACTTTACTTCTGAGTCATTTGAAGACCTCATGCCACTTCACTCTCCAGCATGTTATTCTGAGGAATAACATAACAGGCCCCCCTGATAATACTATCACACTCAAGACCTTTTACATTGATATGGCAACATGTAATACCTTTTAAAGAGCAATCTGAGGGGTTAGCATTGGCTCTCCCTGGGAGCTCTTGAGAAATGCAGAATCTTAGGTCCTACCCTAGACATACTCAATCAGAATCTGTGTTTTAACAAGATCCCCAGAAGTACTGATTATTTGTACAGTCCATGTGCAGATTCTCCCAGTTCTAGTGATATACTTTATGGTTTTTCTTTTTCTTCGTCTTTTTTTTTTTTTTAAATCAGGAATCCATAAAAGATCACATATTGCATTCGGTTGTTATGTGCCTTTAGCCTTCACTTCCAGCTTCCCCACTTGGGACTGTGACATTTTTGTAGAGTTTATGCCAGTTTTGTAGATGTTCTACATTTTGGAATTGTCAGATAGGTGTGATGATTTTTTTTTTGTTTGTTTTTTGAGATGGAGTCTCACTCTGTCACCCAGTCTGGAGTGTAATGGCTCGATCTTGGGTCACTGCAATCTCTGCTTTCTGGTTGAAGGATTCTCATGCTTCAGCCTCCCAAGTAGCTGAGACTACAGTCATGTACCACCACACCCAGCTAAGTTTTGTTTGTTTGTTTTTAGTAGAGATAGGGATTTATCATGATGGCCAGGCTGGTCTCAAACTCCTGACCTTCAGTGATTGACCCACCTTGTCCTCCCAAAGTGCTGGGATTACAGGCATGAGCCATCATGTCTGGCTTTTTTTTTTTTCTTTTTTTAATGGAGTCTTGCTGTGTTGCCTAGGCTGGAGTACAGTGGCTGTTTGCAGGCACAGTCATTGCATGCTAAACTCCTAAACTCCTGGATACAAGTGATTTTTCTGCCTCAGCCTCCCTAGTAGCTGGGACTGTCGTGCACGTCTCTGTACCTGGCTTGATGTTTCTTTCTTAAGGCATTCATTGGGTCAGGTTGTTCCACTGGTGATGATGCTAAGTTTAAACACTTGGTTAAGTAGCATCTTCCAGATTCCTGTGTTATAAAGACAGAATGGTCTTTTGGTCTTATTAATTAATTGCTGCAGTGATCTGCTAGCAATTTCCAATTCATCTTTCTGTCTGTGGCATCTATCGAGATTCCTGAACGTAATTGGTCAGTCATTGATGAATGGATGACTAAATAGGTCATCCAAGATACATACTACAAGTTTTAGAGGCTGTTTTTTCTTGTTTTCTTTTTTTAGTTTTTATTTTTGTAGAGACTGGGTCTCCACAAAAGACACAGGCTGGTCTGGAACTCCTGGGCTCAAGCGATCCTTCTGCATTGGCCTCCCAAAGTTCTGGGATTACAGGTGTGAGCCACTGAGCCTGGCTCACTCTTGTTTTCCTGCTCAGTCTGGGTAACTTCTCAGACTCTCTAGTCAAGTCTAGGCATCTTTTTGCCTGGCTCTCCAACAAAAGTACCTTACTCTTCTTCCTGTGGGCTTCTTAGCTGTGTGAAAGGTTTCTCCTCCCTTAGTCCCATTGTGTTTTTAAATTTGTATTGATTAATTGATTGATTGAGAGGGCGCATTCCGTCGCCTAGGCTGGAGTGCAGTAGCATTGTGCCTCCAGTCCAGATGCTTGTTTCACATTCTTTTCTTTTTAGACTAGTCATCCAGTCTCATGGAAACAGGGACTTTCCTCTTGATCCGTTAGCAGTTTTTATGAAGGCTTGATACAGCTTCTATAAAATGCTTCTGTTGTTAATGGTCTCAACTATAATAAGATGGAAGCTAAGGAAATGAATGTAGATATCCAGTCCATACAGCAAACTGTCACTTCACCTCAGGAGCTTGTTTTGTTTTCCTTCACTTGACCTCTCACTGCTTCTTGCTCTATTCCAGCCCCACTGGCCTTCTCTTTTTGTCAGTCCTGTGTTCCCTATGCCTGGAATGCTCTCTTCCCCCAGGTACTCACTTGACTGGTTCTTTCCTGACTTTTAGATTTCAGCTCAAATGTTGTCAAGACAGAAAGGCCTCTAAGGACCCTACCTAATTCCATTACCATTACGCTGCTTAATTATCTTCCTAGCTCTGATACTGTCTTCTCTGTTCAGTTATTTATGCCATTACTGCAATGAAGGCTTCATGAAGGCAGGGTTCTTTTTTTCCTTGTTGCACTCATATTTGTGAGTGAAGGCTAAATGGTTGGCTTAATATTGTTTTTTTTAAGGTTTACTTTTTGTCCTTTGCTTAGTGCTTTTTGTTTTAATCTGTGTGTCTCCTGATGCTTGTAGCACAGCAATTCCAACTGCTCTCATTGCCTTTGGTGCCCTCAATAAAATAAGAAAAGGAGCAAAATAAAAATGATGTAGGTGTTTTAGTAGTAGTATTATTTATTTATTTTTTATATTTTTATTTTTTAAATTTT